AAAGGGGGCTAGAGAGATGGCTCAGCAGTTAAGAGTGCTGATTGCTCTTGCAGAAGACCCGGGTTCAGTTCCCAGAACCCAGATAGCAGCTGACAACCACCTGTAACTCCAGTTCCGGGGGACCTAACACCCTCTTGTGACCTTAGTGGGCATTGCATGACACAGGTGCACTTACATACATGCAGGCGATATAGTCATACATAGTTTTTTTTTTCTTTTTCTTTTTTTTGTCTTTTTGAGACAGGGTTTCCTTGTAGCCCCAGCTGTCCTGGAACTCACCATGTAGACCAGGCTGGCCTCGAACTCACAAAGATCCACCTGCCTCTGCCTCTGGAGTGCTGGGATTAAAGGCCCGCGCCACCACGCCTGGCTGTACAACTTTTTTTTTGTCTTTTTGAGACAGGGTCTCCCTGTAGCCCCAGCTGTCCTGGAACTCATTATATAGACCAGGCTGGCCTCGAACTCACAAAGATTTGCCTGCCTCTGCCTCCCAAGTGCCAGGAATTAAAGGCATGCGCCACCACGCCCGGCTGTACAACTTTTTAAAAGGAGAAAAATCCAAATTATACAGGAGGGATGGCAAGGTGGCTCAGTGGTTAAGACCACTGGCTGCTCTTGCAGAGGACCCAGGTTCAGTTCCAAGAGCCCACACTGCAGCTCAAAGCCATCTAATTCCAGGAAATCCAACACCCTCTTCTTGCCTTCGAGTGTACTGCATGAACATTGTGTACTTACACGCATGCAGGCAAAGCACTTATACATAAAAAGTTAAGAAAATAAGAAAATAAAATACTAAAAAAACAAATTACACAAGGAACTGACATTTAAAATATTTATTAATTCAGGACAATTCTTTAAACATAATTATGCTAATATTGAAGGCTTTAGTTATTTCTTGAGGGATATTTTACAAATAGGTATAAAATACAGATTACACAATTTATAAACTGTTATTAAGTATTACTAGCAGACTCCAAACTTCTTGTTTTTGAAAAATCACTCCATTTACTATGATCCACCAAAAATGTCTAAATGGAGGAAAAAAAGAAGCATAACTTATGAGTGTAAGTTTTTTTTTAAAATTAATTTATTTTTAAAGTGTGTGTGTGTATATACATTCAATTGTGTGCCACAGTGCACATGTGGCATGTGGAGGTCAAGAGACAACTGTGGGAGTTGGTTCTTTCCTTCCATCATGTGGGTCCTAGGGATCAAACTCACATGAGGCTTGGCAGCAAGTGCCTTTACCCACTGAGCCATGTAAAAAGGACCAATTCTTTTTGTTTTGTCTTTTTGAGACAGAGTCTCCCTATAGTACCAGCTGGCCTGAAACTCACTGTGTAGATCAGGCTGGCCTTGAAGTCACAGAGATCCACCTGCCTCTGCCTCTTGAGTGCTGGGATTAAAGGCGTGTGCCACCATACCTGGCCCCAAGTATCAATTTTTTGAACAGAAAATTGTCAGATAAGGTACAGAACTTAAGACTTAACTATGGTGTTAAAATATATACATAGGGCTGGAGAGATGGCTCAGAGCATTCACTATTCTTACAGAAGACCCAAGTTCAGTTCCCAGCACCCATCTTGGGCAGCACACAACAAACAACCTGTAACCCCACTTCCAGGGGATCTGATGCAGTCTTCTGGCCTCCACAGGCAACTGCACACACACAACATACACTTACACAAACATTTACACATAAATATATAAAAAAACAAATCTTGCCGGGTGTGGTAGCGCACGCCTTTAATCCCAGCACTTGGGAGGCAGAGGCAGGCAAATCTTTGTGAGTTCGAGGCCAGCCTAGTTTACATAGTGAGTTCCTGGACAGCTGGGGCTACAAAGAGACCCTGTCTCAAAAAAGACAAAAAAAAGCCACAAAAAACAAATCTTATCTTCTCTCACGTTTAAAGACAGATATGACTACAGAAAAACAAACTTTAAGAATTACACAAATTTCTCCTAAATCAATATTCTCCATTTTAAAAAAAAGTAAGACTCTGTCGTTATGGTCTGTACATGGTACTTCCTCAAAAGGCTCACATGTTGAAAGCCTGCTCTCCACCTGGAAGCACCACTGAGAGGTAACTGGATCACCTGAGGCTGAGCCCTCATGGGTTTGCAGTTTGAGGACACTGCTAGGAGGTGGTGGAAGCTAGAGAACAGGGCCCAATAGAGGAAGGAGCTCACTGAGGCCAAGCCTTTAAAGGTCTTTCTTGGCTCTGGCTGCTTGCTGTCTGATTCTTTCTGTTGAGATCAGCAGCTTTCTGACTAGATGCTCATCTTGCCACAGGCTGGAAATGAGTCAGCTGCCTCAGTGTGAAATCTTTGAAACTGTGAGTCAAAATAAATCTTTGCTCCTTTCAACTGTTTCTCTTGGGTATTTATCACAGCTGAGGCCAGGCATTCCTTTAATCCCAGCACTCTGGGAAGCAGAGGCAGGCAGATACCTGGTCTTCATAGTGGGTTGGGGCTACAGGGAGACCCAGTCTCAAAAAGACCACCCCCCCCGAAAAAAATCCAACAACATCTAACCAACAACAATTGAGTACAACTGACTGGATATGAACAGTGCTAGTTATTTATGGGTGTTAACAATATACACATTAATTTGAATATGTCAAGAGTCCTTGGTTCCATTTTCACCTGGGCCATTAGGCAAGGAGTGATTCAGGCAAGTCATTTAGCCTGTGGGCCTTTAGTGACATCATGGTTGCTATAATAACATCATGGTTGTTACATCATAGTACAAAACATTACTCACTCTGTGGGAATGCTGGAGTCAACAAACCAAGCGTAGCACAGAACATGGAATAGCTGATAACAATAATAAATGACTATGTTACTAGTTTATATACTTACTACACCCACTTTTTAATCATTATTTTAGAGTGTATTCCTGCTTAAATAGCAAATGTTATGGTATAGAACAGTCTGCTGTGTTATACCAGCAGCAGATTCAGGCATCTTGTATTTTCTGTGTCTCTTAACTACATCAAGGGGCCACACTGGGATGCTGGGTAACATATGGAGAATACCTATATTTGTGTAAGGCACTGTGATGTTTACAGTTTTCAGAACAAAGCCCCATAGTTAAATGATGCATGAGTGTACATGTACACATAAAAACACACTGATCTCCACAACACCAGAAACAGTTGAGTCAACTACAAGATTCTAAATATAAATGGTAGAGCTGGCAAGATGGCTCAGTGGGCAAAAGTGATTGCCACATGAGCCTGAAGACCTGAGTTTGAGCCCCAGCATCCATGATGGAAGGGTCGAGCTCCACATGTGCACAACTGCATGTGCATGCCTGCACACACACACACACACACACACTCACGATTTAATTTAAAAATCTATAAACAGTATCAGGTGGAACAGAAGTACTATTGGCTGGCTTTACCTTTAGGATTTCACAAGGAGCTGCATCTGGTGGCACAGGCTTCCCACAATGCTTTGAATATTCAGTTATCAAGGCCGAGGCTTCATCTAAACTGTGAAACCAGAGGGGACAAGGCAGATGTGAGGAAACCCCTGGGGATGATCTTCTATAGCATCAAAGTGTGTTTCAAATATAACCACTTACTATATGTATTAAGTATACCTCAAAAAGTAACACTGGACATGGTGATGCAGGTAGATCTCTATGAGATTGCGGCCAGCCTGGTCTACATAGTGAGTTCCAGGCCAGCTGGGGCTATAGGGAGACCCTGTCTAAAACAAACAAAACCCCCACTCATTCATAAATGACAGTGTGCAATGATAAACATGCAGAGAAGCTGGCAGTGGGGTGAAGGGCCCTCCATGCAGCACTTAGGCTAGCAGAAAGAATGGACCGTCACTAATCTGACTACACGTTCCATCCCTTGAGTGTCAGTCCACTTCTTCCTTCTCCTTTTTACTTTTCATGTCCGATCTTGGCTCTGACTCAAGAACATTATTGTTTCTAAACTTGAGTATGCTAGAAAATTAGCTAATCAAGTGTAGCAAAAATTATGTTACACAAACCATCAGCACGTCAGAGTATCTAAGAAATACAGTTGTAATTTAGGTTTGAGGCAGGACTAGAAGACACCTATTTTGAGGATTCAGTGAGCTAGCTTAATTATCCGATTGCAAGCTCATGTTCCAAGGTTCTGAGTTGCAAGAAAATTGACTCCTCAGCATGGCAGGTTGCTACTGCAGCTACTACTGGAGCCTTTCATGCCAGCCACTGAGCTCTGAACTGTTTGCTCCAGTAAAGATACAGTCTAAGGAAATTTTATAGTAAGTTGGAGCTTCCCCCAGTCAAATTAACTTACCTTAAGTCATTTGCCAAATAGTTTACCAGTTCAGTGATATTGTTGGTATTTATCATATGTAATTTCAGCACTTGAAAGTACTTTGTCTTGGCCAAAATCCCAAATTCCTTCTTATTTATGATATTATTCAGAATCAGACTTCTAATCTATAGGATGACAGGTATCAATATATTAAAAAATGTTTAATTCCAAGTCCTTAGTTAATACCACAAATTTCTGACAGTCAGAAGTTGCATTATTGCTTTGGGACTAAGCCTCTGGGAAGGGAGGACTTGGCCCAGTTCAGTGCATAGCACATAAATAGGAAGCTATTGTTGTTAAGCACATTGGAACTTTTTTTTTAATGAGGAAGAAGATCTGATTACAACTGCAAACATTTAAAGGGTAGTTTCTCCACTCAGCACAGCAGTAAACAAGGGAGCCAGGGTATCTGTTTTTGACATCTGTTTTGCAATGGTGGAGCCTGAATCCAGGGTCTTGAGTACAATAGGTGAGTGCTCGACCACTGAGCCCCATCTCAGCCCTGGTACCTGCCTAGTACAAAACTACTGAGATTTTTAGTAAGAGTGAAACCATCTTATTATTTGGGGGAAAATTATTACCTTCTTTGATCAAACATAGCAACAATGACACACAATTGTCTCTTACCTGATGTGAAAATCCTGCTAGTTGGCCAGAATTCATATGCTCTTCTAATTGCTGTAAAATGACCTGAGCATTACATGAATCCAGAAAATTCTAGAAAAAAATTAAAGAAGAATTTTTTTTTTTTTTCTGTCTTTTTGAAGCAGGGTCTCCCTGTAGCCCCAGCTGTCCTGGAACTCACTATGTAGACCAGGCTGGCCTTGAACTCACAGAGATCCGCCTATCTCTGCCTCCCAAGTGCTGGGATTACAGGCATGCACCACCATGCCCAGCTAGAAGAAATTTTAAAGTCTTATTACTAGTAATTTCTGTCAAGTCTGGATGATTTTCATTTTAAAATATGAAATATTTTAATTCTCTAAGATTCTTTCATTTGGAGGCTGGGCATGTACTCAGTTTGGTAGAGTGCTTGCCCAGCATACACAAAGTCTCAGGTTCCATCTCCTGAAGAAACTGGGCATAGTGGTACATACCTGTAAAAACAGCACTTAGGAGGTGGAGGCAAGAGGATCAGTACTTGAAAGTCATTCTTGGCTAATAGGGAGTTTAGGCCCACCTGGGATATATGAGATCCTGTCAAAAAGGAAGGGAGGGAGGTAGGGATCAAGTCATCTCTGTGAAGAGAGAGCCCTTCTCTAGAGCCTAACTCCCTTGAGGGCCAGTTCCATACATGTTTTCATATAAATTTTATCAATTTCACCAGTTCTATAAAAAATATAAATTAAAAAAAAAATTTTTTTTTTTTAATTTTTTTTTAAATTTTTTGAGACAAGGTTTCCCTATAGCCCCAGCTGGTCTAGAACTTGTTAGGCAGACAAGGCTGACTTCAATCGCACAGAGATTCCCCTGCCTCTGCCTCTTGAACGCTGGGATTAAAGGCCTGTGGCCTGGTAGTACCACCATGCCTGGTAGTTCTGTTAAAAATTTTAAAAAGATTGGGGACTGGAGAGATGGCTAAATTTTTTGAGACAAGGTTTCCCTATAGCCCCAGCTGGTCTAGAACTTGTTAGGCAGACAAGGCTGACTTCAATCGCACAGAGATTCCCCTGCCTCTGCCTCTTGAACGCTGGGATTAAAGGCCTGTGGCCTGGTAGTACCACCATGCCTGGTAGTTCTGTTAAAAATTTTAAAAAGATTGGGGACTGGAGAGATGGCTCAGTGGTTAAGAACACTGACTGTTCTTGCAGAATCCCAGCACCCACATGGCAGCTAACAACTGTCTGTAACTCCAGTTCCAGAGGACTTGACAGCCTCTTCTGTCCTCCGTGGGCACTGCACGACACAGGTGCACTTACCTACATGTAGGCAATACATGCATACACATAAAATAAAAAATTTCTAATGACAAATTGAAGCAAGGGTAAAAAGCGTTTTACAATTACTCATTCAAATAACAAGAGGTTTTTTGTTGTAAGTTACAAAATCTATTTAAATACTGAAGTGTTGAAAGGTTTATGAATAATCAAAAAACTCAAAGACAAGCACAGATGGCTTTGAAAAATGCAAATGCAATTAACAGTGACAAAAACATACAAATTCATTTATATACATCTACCTACGGAGGAAAAAAAACATACATTTCTAAACGCTTTGTTCTACCTGGTCCTATATTAAAAGAAACGAGACCTGGTAACCATGAAGTTCTATTTTCAAAGTGCTTAAGACCAACCACCACACATGGAAGCTAACTCTCCTCTCCCTCTCTCTTTCATCACATCTATCGATAAGTCCAGCTCCCCTCCTGGGAGGCATCCCCATTTCACTCCATCTCATTAGCTGGCCCCTACCTTGGGTAATTACCTCACAGGCATAGCTAACTTCCCTCAGGTTGCTATGGCTTTCCAAATTTTCCTTCTTGTCAGCACTCTCCTCCAATCCCGCCCAGAATGGGTTTAGAGGCTGTTCTTTCTGAAACACCGCCTTCCTCCCTTTACTTTGCTCTTTCAAGAACATCAACTGTCTGATGAAGATCAAGGTCCAAACTCACTTTAAGATAGCTGAACTTCCACATTTACCTTTCTGTCTGCCTTCCCACTAAATCTGCCTCACCTAAACTGAGGTTTGGTGAAAAGAAAATACAGACTTTCAAGGGACATACAGTGAGTGAGTCCTCCTAGTACCTGGCCAAGAGAAGTAACAGAAAAGATACCTTAATTTGCTGGTGTCTTTTTTCAGAGTGGGGCATGAGCATCAGACAAGCCAGTGCAAAAGCCGGAAGCTCTAACTGGACATACTGCCTGGCGACTCCCATCATATCGAGATCATCCGAAACCGGACATCTTTGAGAGAGTGATTAATTAGTTAACGGCTGCTGTATTTACTGGAATGCATTGGCTTTTCTAGCTTTCCACAGCTGTTTCTCATCCATAACGTCAATTATTTAAAATGCCTAAGTGTTGGTACACAACCTACACTTAGTAATAAGGATCATGAGCCTGTGACAGCATTCAACTTAGAATAATAAAATAATCTACCTACAGGAACACAGACTATGTCTGCACCATGATTACATAAAGACACTTGCAGATACATAAGGTAAATTCTTAGAACCTTCCAAATCCATGTGACAACTCTATAGGATTTAGGTAGTGAGAAAAGGCATTCTCTTATGTTTACTAATCTCTGAGAGCGCTTAGTGAACAGCAGCTTACTAGGAAAGCACCAGACATGGAAAGTAAGCTTTATGAAAATAATAGGTGCACTGTATTAAAATAAAATACATCTTAGTTTTAACTTTTCTACAGGAGTCCCCCCTTACCTGTGGAGGCTATATTCCAAGCCCTCCATTGGATACCTGTAACTGTGGATTTAACCAAAACCTATGCATACTAGAGTTTTTCTTATGCATACATATTTATGATAAAGTTTAATCTAGGTACAGTAAAAGATTAGTAATAGTAACTAATAGTAAGATAGAACAATTATAATAGGACAGTATAATAACTCTGCCAATCTCATTATGATCATCTTTAGGGCCATTATTAAATAAGGCTTACTTGAACACAAGAACTATGACAAGTGAAACCATGGATGGGGGGACTGCTGTGCTCAGAGAGACTATTTCATAAGCAATCAATCTTTCTTGGTAAGAAAGCAAATATTTACTTACTCTAGGACAGCGATGAGACTCTCACAACAATCTGATAACTGACTGGGCATTAAAGGACAGGAGGCTGAAGATGAAAAATAATGATATATACATGGGCATCCAAACCTCAAAATGCTGTTGTCAGCCAGGTGTGGTGGCTCAATCACCTGTATCCCCAGCATTTGGGAGGTTGAGGCAGAAAGACTGTTGAGAGTTTGAAGCCAGACTGGACTATAATGCAAAACCCTGTCTTAAAAACAAAATGAACTGGGGCCTGAGAGATGGCTCAGCAGTTAAGAACACTGGTTGTTCTTGCAGAAGACCCAGGCTCAAATCCCAGCACCCACATGGCAGCTAACAACTGTCCATAATTCTGGTCCCAGGGGATCCAACAGCCTCTTCTGACCTCCACGGGCATTACAGGACATGAGTGCACTTACCTACATGCAGGCAATACACGCATACACATTTAAAAAAGATAATAATAATAATAATAATAATAATAATAATAATAATAAATAAAATAAAATTTTAAAAAAGACCCAGGCATGGTGGGGCACACCTTTGATTTGATGGCAAAGGCAGGTAGATCTTTGTGAGATTGAGGCCAACTTGGTCTACAAGGCGAGTTCCAGGTCAGTTATGGTTACAGGGAGATCCTGTCTCAAAAAGACCACCACTACCACCACCAACCCCTATCCTCCCACCACCAAAAAAAAAAAAAAAAATCAAAATGAGGCCAGTCTGGGTATGATAGTGTGAACCTTTAGTCCCAGCACTCAGGAGGCAAAGGCAAGTGGATCTCTGTGAGATCGAGGCCAGCCTGGTTTACATAATGAGTTCTATATATTGAGTTCCAGGCCAGCTGTGGCTACAGGGAGACCCTGTCTCAAAAAACCCCAAAGGAAACAATCCAAAATGCTGCTGTCATGTTGGCAGCGTCACAACACTTACCTGAGAGCAGAGGGATCTGGATCACATGCTGCCAAGCTTTGCTGAAGTAGGGCGCCTGTGGAAACAGGTGCACCAAAACATTCATGCCTGGGACATTAGAAACTCTACTTCATAGTCATAGAACGATTCATTCACAGCTTATATTCTGCATAAGACTAAAATCAGGGCTGGAAAGATGGCTCAGCGGTTAAGAACGCTGGTTGTTCTCACAGAAGACCTGGGTTTGAATCCCAGCACCCACATGGCAGCTAACAGCTGTCCGTAACTCCAGTTCCAGGGGTCTGACAGCCTCTTCTGTCCTCCATGGGCATTGAACGACACGGGTGCACTTTCCTACATTCAGGCAATACACGCATACACATAAAATAAAAATAATAAAATATTTTTAAAAAAAGACGTTAAAAAAAAAGACTAAAATCACATCAAGTGTGATTTCTCTTGTCATTACTCCCTACACAATATTGTACAATTATTCACACAGTGATTTACACAGTGATAGGCAAAAGGAATCCACAGATGACATAAATCTACTGAAGGGCACCAACAAGATGGCTCAATGGGTAAAGATGCTTGCTACCAAGCCTGATGACCTAGTTCAATCCCCAGTACTCACGATGGAAGGAGAGAACTGACTTCTGTAAGTTGTCCTCTGACCTCCACTCACACGTACACCCCCCCACAAAATAAAAATGTAATAAAAAATTTACACACACACACACACACACACACACACACACACACACATGCGCGCGCGCGCAGAGAAAGATGTATGCTATATGCAAATCATGCCATTTTAGATCTGGTAGCTACAGAGTGGTAGTATTCTAAAACTAACCCCCACAGACATCAAGGGCCTACTCTACATACATACAATGGAACATTTTTTGGTAAGAAAAAAAATGAAGTATCAAAAATGAAACAAAGCAGTGTTAAGTGAAAGAAGCCAGACACAAAAGGCCACATATTGCATGAATCCATTGATATGAAATGTATGAACCATTGTATGAACCCATTAATATGAAACGTATGAACTACTGTATGAACCCACTGATATGAAAGATGGACTATTGTATGAACTCACTGATATGAAATGTATGAACTACTGTACGAACCCACTGATATGAAACATATGAACATGTTATGAATCTACTGATGTGAAATGTATGAACATATTGTATGAACCTATTGATATGAAATGTACGAACATATTGTATGAACCTATTGATATGAAATGTACGAACATATTGTATGAACCTATTGATATGAAACGTATGAACGTATTATATGAACCCACTGAAACGAAATGCCCAGAACAGATTATCTATTCAAAGAGCAGTCATTTCTAGGGGCTTGAAAGGGAAAATGGCTAACGGGCATGGATTTATTTTTTCTCTGACAGTACTGGGGACTGACTGCACCTGGGGCATCCTGCTTGCTACCACTGAACTACAGCCCTGAGATTTCTTTTTGAAGTGAGGAAAATATTCTGGTATTAGCTAATAATGACGGTTGCATAACTTTGTAAATATACTAAAAACCACCTGATAATACAGTTTTTTTGTTTTGTTTTTTCTTTTTGAGATAGGGTTTCCCTGTAGCTACAGCTGGCCTGGAACTCACTATGTAGACCAGGCTGGCCTCAAACTCACAAAGATCTGCCTGTCTCTGCCTCCCAACTGCTGGGATCAAAGGTGTGTGCCATCACACCCTGATAATAGTTTTTAAAAGGGTGAATTTTACCTTAATAACAAAGATCTATATGTCCCGCAATAGAACCATCTTCCAAATACTACTATTACATGGAGCTGTTTAAACCATGGCTTCATTTATATGTACAAACATACCACACACACACACACACACGCACACACACACACACACATATCTGTATATGTGTATAACAAGAGACCTCTTCTAGAAGGATTAGTCAAGGGGAATTTTCATGTTTTATTTAGAATATTCCACACTGTTCTAACTAAACTAGGAATAAATTGCCTACTTAAAATTTTCTTTTACATTTTATCTATTTAGTATATGGGTTAGTATATGCCACAGTGTCTGTGTATGTGAAGGTCAGAAGATAACTGTGGGTGTCACTTTTCTCCTACTGTGTGGCACACAGGGTTCAAACTCAAGTCAGCAGGCTTGGCAATAAGTGCCTTTTTTTTTTTTTTTAAACCCACTGAGCCATCTTGCCAGCCCCCTAAAATGATCTACTTCTGTATAATGATTATGTAGGTACATAACTTGTGAAATTTGAAAGAGATGGTCTCTGACTTTAAAGACCTTTAAATTCTACGATGGGGCAATCCAATGTGTGATTAAAATAAATTACACTGTGACAGATGTTAAGAATGGAGCCAAAATGGACATATGACTCATGAGGCCCAGAGCACTCAGGAAAGCAGTCTCTTCCAGGAGGCAAAATGCATGCCAAGGATGCTGGAACGTTGTCCTGTGGCTGATCCATTCTCTCCTTCACTAAGGGGCTGAGGGCTTAATACAGGGTGCCCAGCAACGACCAAGCACAAAGATTCATTTCACTGAAATTTACTTAAAAACAAAAATAAAAACAAAAAGACCCACATACCTGCCATAATGAATGGACACTAGAAATGGCTGTTAAAACTTTCCTTAGATAAGGAATCTGTAAAAAGAAATAAAATTATAAAGGCTCATAAAATGGTATGCTTAAACATGAAACACTGGATTTTTAGTGCTTCAAAGGGAGCATCTGTAAAACTGATTTCCATGAGAACTGCCAAAGGTTCACTTACAAACCTGCAAGTATTAAGAAAATAAAAAGGCCAAAAAGGCCAGGAAACCTTCCATCTATTTCCAATACAATGAAGGTCCTTTTTGTCTCATTCTGTTTTCTGCAATATATAGCCCATACTGGCCTTGAACTCCTGGTCAGTCATCTTACTTTTGCCTCTAGAATGCTGGGATTATAAACGTGTAGCACATTTGGCAACTGCACACGATTGTGTGTTGGGGGGTGTGTTTTTGTTTTCCCTTCTTTTTTTTTCCTTTGAGTCAGGGTCTTGTGTAGCACAGGCAGCCCTCAACCTCCTTGTGTGAAAGATCATGACCCCAAATCTCTGGTCCTCCTGTCTTTTTCTCCCCAGTGCTGGGATTACAGGCATGTAGCAGCATGTTTGGTTTTTTTTTGGTGATGCTAGGCATGGAACCTTGTGCTTCTCACAAGCTAGGCAAGAAGTTTACCACCTAAATTATATTTCTAGCTCCTGAACTCATTTTGAGTTTGACTTTCTCTAACATCCTTTAAGTCTAGAAGGATCCCAAAAGCGGTAGATGTTTGCAACACGCACCTGTTGGTAACCATCGTCAATGAGATGTGGAGATGCCGTGTACAAATTTAAGAAACCCTCATTACTTACCATGTTGAAGCCAAGAAGCTTTTGCAAGAGTCCATTCCAAAGCTGCAAGTCATGGATTTTGTATTCTAAACAAAGCTCTGCTACCAGTCTTACTGCCTGAAGCCAAAATACCAAACAAGAAATACAATGTGAGAAGGGGGAAAAAATTATGCTGCTTTACAAAATCAGTATGTCGAAATTCTCAATAAATTATTTAAAAAAAAAAAAGGAAGAAGAATCAGTAAAATCAGTAAGTCCAACTACCTTTTGAAAACTTAAGGCATCTTCCTAAAAATATGCACATAACCTACAAATGTCCATTGCCCCATTTCAATAAAGGACTCCATTTTCCTAATTAAAAAAAAAGAGGAATTCTTTTTCCCTCTACAATCAAGAACGCTTTGCCAACTGGCCTCATATCTGTCCTAGCTCCAACTCCCTCAGAAACTAGGTTCCCAAAAGCAATGAGGTGGAAGTGACACCTGTACCTAGAGGAGAGATGAGGACAGGAGTCAGAGGGAGCATTGAAGAGCTTTGTTGCTTACAAGGATGGCTTTAGCCCACGGGTTTTAAGAAGAGAGGAGAGGACCTTCCAGATTGCCTTATCCATCCATACAGGAAGGTATGCCCTTGAGTGCAGAGTAGAACCTGGCCTACACAGCAAGTTCCAGGCCAGGTAGGGTTACAGGGAGACCCTGTCTCAAGACACTGTGTTGATATTTGCACTGCTGGTACACAAAACAGGAAGGTAGGAAAGGTCTCGGGGCAGTACGCCTGCTGGTGGTAAAGTGCCTCTGGTATCTGAGGGATGATGGTGACTGAATGGGTCTCAATGAATATATGAAGATAGAAGGCTACACCCAGGTGAGTCTACGTACCATAGGCTCGTGGCTGTGGTTTTTCCACAATCCTTTAATCATTCCTTCTTTAGGACTGTTGCAAAATAATTCATATGTGATGGGAATATTCAATGTCTCAAATGATGCTAGGAAAGTCACACATTTCAAGTAGGATCTGGAAAACAAAGGTGCTTATGAGAATCATTCTTATAGGTCATAATTATACTAAAACTAAGAGCCACCACAAGGAAATAAGGTCAGTTTGCTGTTTAATGTCCATTTTGGGCTTCTAGCTGTCTTCACAGGATGTAGTATTAGATAGAAATCAATCTCAACAAGAAAACATTCCATTTCTAAACGTTTCTAAGAAACAACAGAGACAAACTGTTCTCAGAGGTCTATTTCCCCTTTGCCAAAATGTCAAGGATAGTCAAGGCACAGAAGTACAGCTATATAGCTACAGGAAGGCAGTCTAATCAATTAAGGGCTTATAAGTTACAATTAAAAAAAATCTGCTGCTTCTCAATTATTCAAATTCTACTTACTTTACTTCTTCAATGGGCTTTTTGAAGAGAGATTCTAGAGTTTCCTTGTCAGCCAAATAGAGGAGACACTGAAGAGCTCGTGCTTTGTGGGCAAAAGTTAACTGGCGCATGCCCAAGGTCTGTAAAACCAAAAAAGGCCTAATGAAGTTGAACTGCACACCTGCATGCTGTAGTCAGCCAAATGAGCTTCAGTTTAGGTCATACAAACACCATCATTTGGTTTTAGTAAGTCAATGACCTCTACCCTTGAGTGCAGAGTAGAGCCTGGCCTACACAGCGAGTTCCAGGCCAGCTGGGGTTACAGGGAAACCACGTCTCAAGACACTGTGTTGATATTTGCAATTCTGGCAGAATTAAGGCAGGGACCCCAACCTGCTCTTCAGTCACTGCCAACATTGGGAACTTAAAAGGACTTTGCCTTGAACATGGTCTTGATGAAGCAGTTAACAACCTTTTTTTAAAAAATATTTTATTTATTATTTTTATTTTATGTGTATGTGTGTATTGCCTGCATGTAGGTAAGTGCACCCATGTCATGCAGTGCCCACGGAGGACAGAAGAGGATGCTGGATCCCATGGAACTAGAGTTAGACAGTTGTTAGCTGCCAGTGGGTGCTGGGATTCGAACCTGGGTCTTTTGCAAGATCAGTCAGTGTTCTTAACCACTGAGTTATCTTTCTGGCCCAAAATTAATCTTTAAAACAAAATTTTTATTTTTATTTTATGTGTATTGGTCTTTTGCCTGCATATGTAAGTGTACCTGTGTCATACAATGCCCAAAGAGTCAAAAGAGGGTGTTGGATCCCCTGGAACTGGAGTTATAGAAGGTTGTTCGCTGCCATGTGGGTCCTAGGAACCGAACCCTGGACCTCTGCAAGAGCAGCCAGTGCTCTTAAGCACTGAGCCATCTCTCCAGACCCAAAATTAATCTTCTTAATGCTCAACTCTTGTATATAATCATGTCAATGAAGTCACCTCTGAATGCATGCTAATATTAGTTAATGATCATTCATTAGTATTCTTTATGGGCAAATGGGTAGTTTGCCTTCATATACTTAATCAGGAAGAAAAACACCTGGTTGAGCTTGTTAATTTTTCAATTTTCTTTTCTTTTCTTTTTTTTTTTTTTTTTTTTTTGTCTTTTTGAGACAGGGTCTCCCTGCAGCCCCAGCTGTCCTGGAACTCACTATGTAGACCAGGCTGGCCTCGAACTCACAGAGATCCTCCTGCCTCTGCCTCCCAAGTGCTGGAATTAGAGGCATGCGCCACCACGCCTGGCTAATTTTCTTTTCTTTTTAAGATTTATTCATTTATTGCTTATTTACACATATAAGCTTATATGCCTATAGAGGCAGGGGGCATCAGGTCCTCTGGAACTGGAGTTACAAGCAGTTGTGTGCTACCATGTGGGTACTGGGAACCAAACCTGAATCCTCTGCAAGAGCAACAAGTGCTCTAACTGCTGAGCCATCTGTCCAGCAGCTAATTTATTTAATGAATGACCAAAGGACAAACTAATATGCAAGGACTGTCATGGACTTCCATCCAGCATCTCAGATTTTCCTCTTGTCCTTTGAAGCACCATTTACCCTATGGCTTCTCACATTTACTGTCTGCCTACTCCAGCTGCCTCAGAGGATATTACCATCCTGGCCTAGTGGCTAACGTCTATAATCCCAGCACAAAGGAGAACAAGGCAGGAGGATTGTTAAGAGTTTGGAACAAGTTTAGGCTACACAGTGAATTCCAGTCCAGACTGGGCTACAGTGCGAGACCATGTCTCAAAAAAACAAACAAAATCCCCACAAACCAAATAGCAGTAACAACAAAATTGCTGTATTTAAAAATCTGAAGGCCACTGCTGTACATAGTGGCAGATACCTTTAATCTTAGCACTTGGGAGGCAGAGGCAGGAGGATCTCTGTGAGTTCAAGGCCAGCCTGGTCTACATCATGAGTTCCAGGCCAGCTGGGGCTACAGGGAGACTCTGCCAGGCAACAAAACAAAACAAAAACAAAGCAAAACAAAACCTGAAGGCTAAAGAGCTTGCTCTACTATAGGAAACACTAAAGTTAAGTGTAGAGACTTGTGGGCAACTAGAGGTAGCAGCTAGGCCAGGCAGGACCATGAGGATAAGCTGTAGAGGCCAGTTTGTTTAGTCCCCTGGTATCAGGAATGTTTACCTATCAGGGAGTTAACAATCACTAACAATCTGTGGGAACTGTCAATAGGTGCATCATGCAGCCTGCTAAGCACATGTTGCAGTAGCAATGGAGCATGGTGTGTTGAGTAATCTTTGCTTATCAAGCCGGGCGTGGTGGCACAAACCTTTAAGCCCAGCACTTGGGAGGGAGAGGCAGGTGGCTCTCTGTGAGTTCAAGGCCAGCCTGGTCTACATAGTGAGTTAGTGAGTTCCAGGACAGCTGAGGCTACAGAGAGACCCTGTCTCAAAAAGACCAAAAAAAAAACTTTGCTTATCAAGAAGCATAAACAGAATAAGCATGTCAGTGAGCATTATCTGAGTCATGTTTATAAAATCAAGCATGGTAATACACAGGAGGAAAATGCCAAGCTGCAAAGCCCACATGGGTTTTGATGAAGTTTCTAGAACTTACAGTTGTAGCTGAGGTGGCAAATACAAACAGCATTCTTGAGCTATAATCGATTGGCCGAGACTGAAGGAGATAAAGGACTCTGGAGAAAAAAAATGAGATTTATTTTTTAACACAGTGAGGGATTACTAATACAATAGTGCTGAGCTCCAAATCAGGAGAAAAGACTCCTTGGTTTTGGTGATGCAAGTCTTTCCTCACTGTTAGATTTCTACATTGCCTTACAGGCCACTCTACCTACTTATGATGTAGGTCAGGACTGGCAAAAGGCTGGCACGCATGCTGCCACATCCACTTCTCATGCCCATATCGAGCATCATTAATGGCTTACTGAATTTCTTCTGATTCAAGCCCAGATACAGTCTTTTCAAGAGAACAAGCCATGAGCATCTGGTTTAGTGCATTTTATGAAAGGAACATGACTTTATAGTCTTGGTCGTAGATTTGAAGGATAAAATGAATCTAATGGCCTGTACTGAGCCACCCAAGCTTCTAGAAGGCAAGAGTACACAGGACTTCAGAGCCAAAGTCCTGTCTAATAAAAGAGCTTTCCTCTGCCTGAGACATACTCTCTGCTGAAGGGGTTCTAGGACATTCACAGAATCACACTGTGAGTCTAGAATCCTAGCTCTGTGATTCCCTGGCTAGAGGGACTCCATCATGTAGCAATGAATTGATTCTTCTCAGAGACTCTGCCCCAACTTATATCAGGAAGTCTTTCAAATTCAACTTTTAGAAATATTTATTGGTATGACTCCTAAAGGCAGTAAGGGAAAGGGCAAGTGTACCTTCGCAGTGCTTCATCTTCTTGAAGTTCAAATAGTTCTGATGCTTTCTTTGAAATCAAAGAAGAAAAAAAAAAGTTAAAAACTAAAGTCTGATTATATACACTTTCATCTTATGACAGTATACTACATTTTAAAAAACCCAGTATAGAAAATTATGTTTATACTGAAGAAATAATGTGAATAATTACTTCATGGAGATTTTTGCTTAAAAGATGCGTTTGCAGGGCTGGAGAGCTGGCTCAGTGGTTCAGAGCATTGACTGCTCTTGCAGAGGACTTGGGTTCGATTCCCAGCACCCACATAGCAGCTACAAACCATCCTTAACTCCAGCTCCAGGGGAATCCGATGCCTCTTCTGATCTTCGAGGCACTGCACGACACGGGTGCACTCACATACATGCAGGCAATACACTCATACACATAAAATAAAAATAAATAAAAAAATTTTTTAAAACAGCCAGGCGTGGTGGTGTACACCTATAGTCCCAGCACTTGGGAGGCAGAGGCAGGCAGATCTCTGTGATTTCAAGACCTGCCTGGTCTACATAGTGAGTTCCAGGCCAGCTAGGGCTACAGGGAGACCCTGTCTCAAAAAAAAAAAAAAAAAAAAAAAAAAAAGATGGGTTAGCTCTCACTCATTCACACAGTAAATATTTACTGAGTACTTCTTAGGCAATAAGCACAACTCTAAGTACACAGGCTGCCTAAGTAAACAAAATAGAATTTGGGTCCTATGGAGCTTACATTTGTTGGATAAATTTGTGGGTTTTGTTTGGTTTGGTTTTTGATCTCCCTATGTAGATCAGGCTGGTAATCCTGTCCTGGTAACCCTCCTGTACCTCAGCCTCCCATGTGCTGACATTAAAGGCATGAGCTACTACACCTAGCCTTTTTTTTTTTTTGCTGATACAGGGGACCAAGCCCAGGGCCTCAGGCATATCAGTCAAGTAAGTACTCTGCTACTGAGCACCTGTCAGGATTTTAAGAGTCATTTACCAACTTAATATGTATTCATCAGGACGTACAAAGCACTGTACTACATATGCTATGCAGACATGGCTCTTAGTCAAATTACTACTCTGTGCCTGTGTATAACTTGAAACAGAAATGTTGGCTTCTAGCTTCTTTTTTCCTTTTTTTGTCTTTTTGAGACATGGTCTTCTTATAGCCCCAGCTGGCCTGGAACTATGTAGACCAGGCTGGCCTTGAACTCACAGAGATCCACCTGTCTCTGCCTCCCAAATGCTGGGAGTAAAGGCATGCACCACTGAGCTTAGCTTCTTTTTTTTAAAAAAAAAAAAAAAAAAACTGTGATTTTTTAAAAATTTTATGTGTATGAGTATATTGCCTGCATGTGTATAAGTGCACCTGTGTCTTACAATGACCACAGAGATCAGAAAAGGGCATTGAATTCCCTGGAACTGGAGTTACAGATGGTTGTTAGCCACCATGTGGGTGCTGGGGATCGAACCCAGGTCCTCTGCAAGAGAAGTCAGTGCTCTTAACCTCTGAGCCATCTCTCCATTCCGCTGGCTTCTAGTTTCTAAAGGACCTGTGGCTGAGATGTGTACTTAATTAAATTTCCATTGAAGTAGTCATTACTCTTGGTAAATGCTTATAGAACATTTGTAGAGGGCTGGGACCATAGCTCAGGTAATGGAATGTTTGCATAGCAAATAGTATACTGGGCTCCATACCTAGAACTGTATAAACTGGGCATGGTGGCACATATCTGTAATTCTAGCACTTAGGAGGTTGGAGCAGGAGGATCATAAGTTTAGATCATCCTCCACTACATGGTGAGTCAGAGATCAGGCTGGGATACACAAGACCTTCTATGAAAACATCGGCAACTACTTGTGGAACAGAATGAAAAGTTATATAAATGCTACTAATTAAAAGCCAGATGGCCAGATGGCTCAGCAGGTAAAGGAATTATTGTCAAGGCTGAAAATGGAATTCAATCCCTGGGACCCACAAAGTAGAAGGAGGCAACCAACCAATGATCTCAGGTAATTCAAAACTTTAGAGGCTGGAGAGATGGCTCAGGGGACAAAAGTACTGGCTGCTCTTACAGAGGATCCAAGTTCAGTTCCCAGCACCCACAAGGTGCCTAACAACCATCTGTAACTTACAGTTTCAGGGGCTATAATGCCCTCTTCTGGTCTCCGTGGGCCAGAAATGCACATACATGGTGCATTTACATGAATGCAGTCTAGTAAAACATTCATACACATAAAATAAAAATAAATTCTTTAAAAATTAAAAAAGAATTACAGAAAAACATATTTAAGAATTATCAGTGGCTGCTAAGCTCATGTAGAGGTAGGGGGTAGATTAGATAAAGAATCTGAAGATAAACAGAAGGTTGGATTATCTAAAAATATTTCCTTTAAAAGTACAAAAGGGCACTTAGGAGGCAGATCTCTGTGAGTTCGCGATCAGCCTGGTCTACAAGGCGAGTTCCAGGCCAGCTGGGGCTACAGGGATACCCTGTCTCAAAAAGACCTCCCCTCCCCAAAAAAAGAAGTACAAAAGGAAAAAAATTATACTCATCAGAGAAAAGCACAACTTAGGCAAGGTATACATCTACGTTAATACCACCTATCAGAACTGACTCCACAAAGTTGTCCCCTGATCTCCACATGTACTCTGGCACAACTGTGTGTACACATGCACACACACATGTATAAATAAGTTCAAATCATCTATAAGGGCAAACAGATGTCATGTGCTTCCAAATGTCACATCCTAATGTCATTTATGCAGCATGATACTCAAATACAAAATTTTAATATTTTCATGAAAAATATTAAGCAAATCAAAATGGAAGGAGTTTAAAAAATAACTGGTCAACACTCATCAAAACTGTCAATGCCTGGCTAGCAAAATGGCTCAGTGGGTAAAGGTGCTTACCACCAAGCCTGATGACCTGAGTTTGATCCTGAGATGTCATATGGTGGAAGGAGAAAACTGATTCCTACAGGCTGTCCTCTGACCTCCACATGTACCCTGTGGCACATGTGTGTATCCCTCACCCCACAGACAAAATCAGTAATTTTTTTTTTTTTTTTTTTTTTTTTTTTTTTTTTTTGGTCTTTTTGAGACAGGGTCTCCCTGTAGCTGCAGCTGTCCTGGAACTCACTATGGAGACCAGGTTGGCCTCGAATTCACAGAGATCCGCCTGCCTCTGCCTCCCAAGTGCTAGGACTACAGGTGTATGCCACCACACCCAGCTAACATAAATAATTTTTTAAAAAGCTATCAATATCACACCTTTAATCCCAGCAGAAGAAGCAGAGGCAGGTGGATCTCCATGAGATTAAGGCCAGCCTGGTCTACATAGTGGTTCCAGGTCAGCTGAGGTTATAGGGAGACCATTACAAATAAAAACAAAAAACAGTGCAAGGCCAGCCTGAGGTGCATACTGAGACTGTCTCAGGGGAAATAAAAAAGGCTGTGTCCTCCCTCCTTCCTACTGGGAAGGTTGTGTAGTGTGGAACACAAACTCAGCTCCTATCCAACGATGCACTCTGGCAGCACTCACCTCACCGGGCACTGTCAAGGGGCACAGCCATTTTTCCAACAACATGTCCCAGATTTTTTCCAAATTAATTTCATTAACTTCAGCTATTTCTTTAGCTGCTGTGTGAATATCTAAGATAATCAATACAAAGAAGTTAAAAAAGGAGAAACCCAAACTTTCTCCTTTGTAAGACAACTGAGAATCAAAACAATAGTTCTTTCTGGACCCAAAAGAGGAGAGTTTTGTCCTCACCAGGATAATCTTTTCCAGACACATTCTGTATTCTTTCGTTGATGCTGGGATGTTCATAGAGGCTGACGATGAGATGTGCCGGCTTGCCTATCACTCTTAAATATTCTGGAGTGTTCAACTTGTGGGCTATGAGCACAGCTTCTGTGCCAGAGCGCCAGAACTGGAGATGAAGCTTCTTCAGCAAAGCCTGGGCTTTTTCACATGTTTCATCCTTTCAAAAATTCCAAATGAAAAGACTTATTGTAGGGTCAGGAGGGATGGCTCAGCAGTTAGGAGCACTGACTGCTCTTGTAGAGGACCTGGTTTTGATTCTCAGCACCCACGTGGTGTCTAATAACTGCCTATAACTCCAGTTCTAGGGGATACGACTCCCTCTTTTGACCTCTGCAGACATTGCAGGACACAGGTGCACTTACATACATGCAGGCAATACACTCATACACATAAAATGAAAGTAATAAAAAATATTTTTTAAAAAGATGTATTGTATATTAGTTACTTGTACTTTTTTTTGGATCTTGCAAGGGGAAAACTACAAGTAACAAGTTTTGTAGAATTAATTTAAATTTGTTACAGGTTTTCATGTTCAGGACAAATAACTTTTCAGCCTTGGGTGAATATTCTCAACACAGTCCATTGATGAGGTGATTATTTCACCACAGAACACTGTTGCTTGCCAGTCTTTTTTTGTGTGTGAAAACACTTCAGAACTGAATTAAAAGATAAATATTTAAAATTGGTTGTGTATCTGCCCTGGGTTCAGTAAATAAACAATTCTTAAAAAAAAAAAAAAAAAAGATAAAAATCTCAAGGGAAGCTAAGAATCTCTCTTGAATCATGGCCCTCCCTGGCTTATTTGGACCCTTAAGTATCCATCGCAGGAAACTGGACTCTGATCTCTCTCCTGGGTACTGCGGAGGGATGAAAGTCTTGCTAAGCAAGCACAGCATCAGTGAAACAGAAAGAGGCATCTTCAGTTTTCTAGTTCAGACTCACTTGAGATGGGATGTTTTGGAGCCATCTCTCAGCTAAATACAAGCAGAATTTCAAACTAGTCATCTTGAAGGGGCCTAAAAGGAGAAAAGATTCATGAGCAAATCTGAATCCTTTCAAGGCAACACATGCTATCAAACCAGCAAGGACTTGTAAATTATAAATGAACACTCAGTAAAAATAAAAAGTACCTTGGCGTGGTGGCACATGCCTTTAATCCCAGCACTTGGGAAGCAGAGGCAGGCGGATTTCTGTGAGTTCAAGGCCAGCCTGGTCTACACAGTGAGTTCCAGGAGAGCTGGGGCTACAGGGAGACCCTGTCTCAAAAAGACCAAAAAAAAAAAAAGTAATATAAACAGGTCGGAAGGATCCAAAATAGAAATCAAAGTCCACGATGGCCCTCCTTGGCTTCCAACCCTTAAGTTTTCATATTCCTTCTGGAAGTTCTCTGTGCATATGTCACAGGGTGCATAATACTATCCATACATTTGCTATTTCACTTTATATCTTTTTATCTTTCCAAACAAGCTACATAGCACTGCATTCTATGAATGGGCCCTATATTGCCTCTAATGAGCTCCTACTGATAAGTATTGGGAAATGAAAACAGGGCTGGTGGTAGTTCAGAGCCAGAGCACTTACCTAGCATGTGCAAGGCTCACGCTGGATGCCCAGCATAGGGAAAAAAAAGAGAACCAAATCAAACCCAAAACTACAGCCAACCACTTCAAGTCCAATGGAAGAAAGCTGTGCACCTTCTGGGATTTCCTGGGTGAGACTGATGGCAATGGCAACGGCCCACTCCGGGTTGACTATAGACAGGAGGTAAGACTCGATGGTCTGTGTGAGCTTAGCCACTTCCTTATCCAGCAGAGCTGAGTACTTGGCTTGTGCTAACTTCAGGAGCTTTGGCTTCAGGTTTTTCTCAAAAACATGCTTGGCTGTAGACACATAGAGGGTATCTAGAGAGAACTTCAGAGAAAAGGAAAGTGACTGTTAGACAGGAGAGCAATGTATGATCCTCCTACCTGGGCTCAGGCTGACTACATACATAGAAGCCTCTTACAAGGTTTCAACCCATTACCTTCATCAATTTAGAGATTAAGAGCAGGGTTGGAAGCGACTCTTCACTGAGCTCTGAGGCTGGAAAGGAAATGAGAAGGTTATGATACTTAAGAAATAAATGGTTGGTTATAGTAAAATTTGTAAATTAATGAACATACAGAGAATTTTCCAGAAGTTCTGTGCTGTGCCAAATAATATTAGGTGAAAAGGAAGTCTGGTCTGGGCAGCTGATGGGAGAGTTATTACATGCTCCAACATATATTGATATTCTAGATCCACTGGAGGGGAAATTCTTTTGTATGACTTCAAATGTTTCAGAAGATTCAAAGCCTGCATCAAAATATGAAAGTGTTCTCCTGTAAGAATGACCCAGTCTCGTAATGTCTGTTTGTACCATGAGCACTTCCCATTCCTCAGTAGGCTTATTCTCATAAAGACAACAAAAGTGTTTTCTAGGTGAGATGGCTCTGTGGGTAAGGGCCCTTGCTACTAAGCATGACGGGCTTGTTAAATCCTTGGGACTGATATGATAGGAGTACCAAGTACCAGAATTTTTCCTCTGAGCCCCACATGCCCACTGTAACACATATGCACACACATGCACACACACACAGAGAAATAAATGTGAAAGAATACATTAAAACAAAACCCTTTTCAGCCAGGCAGAGTGGCACACACTTTTAATTCTAGCACTTGGGAGGCAGAGGCAGGCAGACCTGTGTGAATTCAAGACCAGCCTGCTCTACATAATAAATTCTAGGCTAGCCAGGGCTACACAGTAAGACCCTGTCTCAAAACAACAACAACAAAAGGTCGTTTTCTAGTTTTCCCTGCAGTGTTAGTCTTCTAAAGTATGACTTGGGTGACCACTGAAGACATTACATTAGCAGAAACCAAGGCAATCCTGTTGCTTATAGAACGATCCAGGCAGTTCCTGACAAACTCTTTAAATAGTCTGGGATATACTTTAAAAAAAAAAAAAACCTGAAAGGTCGATGTTGTTTGAACTACTGAACTAATTTTTCAGGTGGAATCTTGTCATGATGTCCAGGTGCCCCCCACAAACCTTACTTAGGAGATAGGCTTACAATAGGATTGAACATCATGAAATATTTTTTCATGAAAATCTTTTTACTATTGTACTCTTGCACTCCCTTTTTTTGTTTGTTTTTTTGTTTTTGAGACAGGGTCTCCCTGCAGCCCCAGTTGGCCTAAAACGTACTATGTAGTCCAGGGTGGCCTCTATCTCACAAGAGATCCGCTTGCTTCTGCTTCCCAAGTACTGGGATTAAGGCTACCACACTCAGCTTGCACTCTATTTTTTTTTTAAATTCTTTTTATTTAATGTATGTGAGTGTTTTGTCTGCATGTAACTGTGAAAAGCCTGGGGAGGCCAGAAAAGGTTGTACAATCCCTTGGAACTGGAGTTAGGGATGGTTGTTAGTTGCCATGTGGGTGCTGGGAATCAGTCCTACTCCTCTGCAAGAATAACCAGTGCTCTTAACTACTGAGCCATCTCTCTGGCCTCTTTTATGTTTGTTTTTTCAAGACAGGGTCTCCCTGTAGCCCCAGCTGGCCTGGAACTAGCTATGTACACCAGGCTGACCTCATGTCTCAAACATCAGACCTGCTACCTTCCTCCTGAGTGCTAGAATTAAAGGCATGTGCCACCAAGCTCAGCAGGACTCCTTTTTGGAAAAAAAAAAAAAAAAAAAAAAGATTAGAGGTTGAAGAGATGGCTCAGTAGTTAAGAGCACTGAATGTTCTTGCAGAAAACCCAGGTTCAATTTCCCAGCACTAACAACCATCTGAAACTCCAGTTCCAGGTGATCTGATGCCCTCTTCTGACCCCCATGGGCACTGTACAACACAGGTGCACTTACATGCAGGCAATATACTCATACACATAAAATAAAAAATAATCAAATATTTTTTAAAAAAGATTAGCAGATGTGGTTGCACAGGCCTATAATCTCAATACTTGGAAGGCAAGGCAGGGGAATCAGAAGTTCAAGTCATCCTTGACTCATAACCAGTTTGAAGGCAGCCTGGGCTATGTGAGATCCTGTCCCAAAAAAAGAAAATCAAGTGCTGGTAAGATGGATCACTGGGTAAACTTATTTGTCATACAAGCCTGAAAACCTGAGTTTGATTCCAGGAACTTATGTAATTTGGAAGGAAAGAACTGACTCCACAGTTTTCCTCTGATCTCTAGACATGCACTGAGGCATATTTATGTCCCCACTGACACACAGTCTCTCTCTCTCTCTCTCTCTCTCATACACACACACACACACACAACAATAATAATAATAATAATAATAATAATAATAAAGATGGGGGGGAGTCTTTTTGAAACAGGGTCTCCCAATAGCCCCAGCTGGCCTAGAACTCACTATGTAGACCAGGCTGGCCTTGAAATCAGAGATACGCCTGCCTCTGCCTCCCAAGTATTTGGACTACAGGCATGTGCCACCACGCCCAGCAATAATAAAGTTTTAAAAAAATTAAAAACATAGCCGGGCATGGTGGCGCACACCTTTAATCCCAGCACTTGGGAGGCAGAGGCAGGCAGATCTCTGTGAGCTCAAGGCCAGCCTGGTCTACATAGTGAGTTCCAGGCCAGCTGGGGCTATAGGGAGACTCTGTCTCAAAAAGATCGCCCCCCTCAAAATTAAAAACATAATAAATGCAGGGTATGTTGGAGCACTCCTTTAACTCCAGCACTAGGGAGGCAGAGGAAGGTGGTTCTCTGTGAGTTCCAGGCCAGCCTGGTCTACATGACAAGTTCTAGGTCAGCCAGGAATACCAAGTAAGACCCCATCTCACAAAACAGAATAAAACTAAATTAATTAATGAAATAAAGAAAATTATCTAGAATGAAGTTTCAAATATAAAGAGCGATTACTCGTAAAGATATTGCATAGTGTTCTTTATGATCCAAACGAAAGCAGGAAGAAGAGTTTTCAATTTTTAATGAATTTGTCATACCTGATTGATATTAACACTGGTTATCTTTTCATCAGCTCTTTCTATAACTTTCAGGACAACTTCAATCATTTCATAATCATAGGGGTCCAACTGTATCAAAACAGAAATATGTCAGAACACAAGAAGACACTGCCATGCTGATGGACAATTTTATACAATGACATTTCTCATTACAGATACAAACATAAAATTAGAGAGCACTATAGCCTAGGTTATCCTCTTACAAATAAACTCTCACCTCTAAAATTACCTCTATTAGGATAAATATCCACATTTAAAATATCTTAAAAGGTTGTTTAAAAAGCTATACAAGGCAATACTGTTAACAAAGACAGATGCTTGTAGGGTGCTAAACCCATAGAAAGAATAAATATATGGTCAACATTTCCCACTTTTTGTAAGAATGTGAGGTTGATGTTCTATTTCTTCTATTTATGATGACGATATTAGACTAGGAAAACCCCAAGCTTTTCCTGGAAATGACTTAACTACCCACCTTCATGTACTAGCTTTTCAAGGGATTCTGTTTTAGGTCTAACCATATACCATAATAGAACAAACTAGGCGGTATCTATACACACTTGTAAAAAGAAGTTCTTCGCTTCTGCCCACACACCATTTTCTTTTCTTTCTTTTTTTTTTTTTTTTTTTTTTTTGAGAAAGGGTCTCCTTGTAGCCCCAGCTGTCCTGGAACTCACTATATAGACCAGGCTGGCCTCGAACTCACTATGTAGACCAGGATGGCCTCAAATTCACAAAGATCCGCCTGCCTCTGTCTCCCAAGTGCTGGGATTAAAGGCGTGAGCCACCACGCCCGGCCCTATTTTCTGTTTTTTAAGTGCCAACTAAAGACATGATTAGTCAAATGAAAAGAGGGTCTATCATACCTAAGAAATTTGAGCAAATCTGTAATTTTTGGCTGAATTACAGGCAAAATATAAAATGGAAACTCATCTTGCAGTCTTAGAATCTTACTTCTCCTGCCATCTGCCTTCATCCCCCCATCAAACTACCTCTGAATTTAAAAACACCAATTCTAAGAATTCCTTAAAAAAACACACAAGAACAGTAAAACACACATAAAGATGCTCATTTATTCAATATAACTACTTATAACAATAAAATTTACAGTTTAAATGTTTATCCATAAAAGGTGGGTTAAATGCAGTGTTTCAACCATGCCGTGAAATAACAGTCAATAAGACAATGCACCAAATAGTTACTGTAGAAGCTACTAAACTATTAGATAACTAATTAATAAATGATTAATAATTAATAAAATGTTAATATTTTATCCCAATGGAGATAAAGTATCCATTTCAGAGAGTAGGATGATATTAAATTTCCCTTTTTGATATATAACTTTATGTCTAATTTGATCCTTTTACAAAGAATGTTTGCTCTTTTTAAACAATCTGAGGGGAAGCCAGGCATGGTGGCACATGATGTGATTCTAGAGGAAGGAGGATCAGGAATTGAAGGTCATCCTCGGCTGCATAGTAAGTTCCAGGGCAGACTGGACTGCTGAGACTACCATCTCAAAAAGCCAAATAATGGAGCAGATAGCCTGAGAGGGTCTGTTCTGATTTCTATCCATGTAGGGACTGAGATTTCAGCAGACCACCTGAGAGTGCCTGTTCTGGCCTCCCTCTGGCATAAGGGCTGAAAACTCAGCAAACTGCCTGAAAGCACCTGGATCCAACTTCCACATGGTATAGATGGAAACCCTTTGAAATGGGCCAACATGCCATGGAAAACTGATGATGCAGAGACCCAAAAGTTCAGTGCCTTGCCACAATGGGAGGAAGATCATCCCACACCTACCACCCCCTCTAAGGCTCAGAGTTTTGCAGAAGAGGTTGGCAGAAAGAACGTAAGAGCCAGAGGAAGGGGTGGAGTGTTAACTGGAAGCATCCTCCAACCACTATGCCACCGCCTTCCCACAGTCGAGGGGGTAGTCAGTTACCCCTGCCACCGAATCAGTCAACCTTAGCTGCATATGGGGGAGGGACTAAAGATATATAAGCTGAGAATGCCAGGAGGCACCTCTCTCACCATTTTCTGTGACTGTCTGGAAGTCATAGGATCTATATTTGAGTGTGGACTTTCCAGTGCAGTCATAAATGGGGGAGGGGGGTGCCCACTCCTCTGTAAATAAACCCCACCCTATGCTCTGTTAGTAAAAAAAAAAAAAAGAAAATGATAGGTGTTTGGATAGATGAGAGGGATCTGACTAAACCATGAGTGGATGGACTTGCACTAGGGAATGTCTGAGGACACAGTTAACACAGTGGGCCTTAATGCCCAGGACAGAGTATAGGGATTCCAGTAGGGGAGCTATGAGAGGGTGCTGATGGGGACAGAACTATAAAGATGATTTCAGATATTCTGTATGAAATACAACAAAATTTAATAAAAACAAATAAAAAAAATAAAAAAATTAGATAATTAAGGGTGTGAGAGGATGATTGAGATAAACACATACATTTGTTTTCCCATTCACCTACCTTACAGAGTATTCCACTAAGACTGATGACCAGATCCTTTGTGCTCGTCAATAAAGGAACCATCTCAATGGCTTTGGCCAAGAGTTTGGAATGTGGCTGCTTTGCAGACACCAGGGTAGCATCTCCCTGGCTCTGGTTATTAGTGTTGTGGAGTAGGGTTTCAATGAACAGCTGAAGCGCTGCATCACAGTCCAGCTGAAATGTGCTGAAAGAAGTATTCAATACATGCTGATTGTCTCAAATGCACGCATGTCTAAACAGGGTTTAGACAGACATCTCACGTACATGATTCTGTCATGAAGTGCTACTGTCCAGCTCATAATCAGAAAAACTATCATCCAAAATAAATATCGCCTTTTTTTTTTTTTTTTTTTCTGTCTTTTTGAGACAGGGTCTCCCTGTAGCCCCAGCTGTCCTGGAACTCACTATGTAGACCAGGCTGGCCTTGAACTCACAGAGAGCCTCCTGCCTCTGCCTCCCAAGTGTTGGGACTATAGGCATGTGCCACCATGCCCAGCTTAATATTGTCTTTTAAAAAATATATTTTATTTATTATTTTCATTTTATGTATATTGCCTGCATGTGTGTAAGTGTACTTGTGTAACACAATGCCCAAGGAGGTCGGAAGGGGGTGTTGGAGCCCCTGGAACTAGAGGTACAGATGGTTGTTAATCACCATGTGGGTGCTGAGAAATGAACCCGGGTCCTCTGCAAGAGCAATCAGTGGTTACACTGAGCCACCTCTCCAGTCCCATTATTGCCCTTTGTGGTGGTTTGAATGAAAATGTCTCCCATAGGCTCCAAGGATTTGGACATTTTGTCCCCAGATGATGACACTGTTTTGGGAGGTTTTAGAAGGTGTGGCTATCCTGGAGGAAGCATGTCACTGGGGGTGGGCTTAGAGAGTTCTTAAGCCTTGCCAGATCTCCAGTTGCTCTCTTGCTTCCTGTACCTGCATGATGATGTGAGAGTTTAGCTTCTGGTGCTCCTGCTCCAGCCACCTCCAGCCACCATGCCTCCCTGCCATGATGGACTGTAATTCCTCTGGAACTGTAAGCTTAAATAAACTCTTCCTTCTATAAATTGCTTGGGTCAGTTTTTCTATCACAGCAACAGAAAAGTGACTAATACACCCTTTTTAAGACAGAGTCTTGATATGTAGCCCAGGCTGAAATCAGGCTTTCAATAATTCTCCTATCTCAGACAATAGTGGCCTACACCACAATGCCTATACTAATTATTGCCTTTTAAAACACCAGATAGCCTACCTGGGCTTGGTGGTACACGCCTATAATCCTAATCATTGGGAGATAGTCAGCAGGATCAATAGTTGAAGGTGATCCTCAGCCATGGCATGAGTTCATGACCAGCCTGAGCTATATGAGACCCCCATCTCACTCAAAAATAAGTAAATAAATAATAAATGAATTAAAATTTCTTAAAAATTGTGAATCTGGTTAGTATGGGCAAAGTGACAACTGGAAAAACCTCCTTAGGACTGTTTAATGATAGTTTAATTTGTCAAACACAGTAACTGAAATACCAAGAAAAACTTCAAGTCCTCTGACATTCTAAAAGTAATCTAGCTGGGTGTGGTGGTATGGTGGCCACATGAGAAGGATCACAAGTTCAAGGCCAGCTTGGGTGACATAATATGCTCCAAAGCTGGCCTGGACTACAGAGTAAGACCTTCCAGACAACAAAAAACAAAACTTTTTTTTTTTTTTCTTTTTCTTTTTTGGTCTTTTTGAGACAGGGTCTCCCTGTAGCTCCAGCTGTCCTGGAACTCATTATGTAGACCAGGCTGGCCTCGAACTCACAAAGATCCACCTGCTTCTTCCTCCCAAGTGCTGGTATTAAAGGCATGCACCACCACGCTTGGCCAAAAACCAAAACTTTTAAAAAAGTCATCTGAGCTCATTCAGGCAGAAGTGTCACTATCAATACAAGAGCCCAAGGCTTCGAAAGCTGAATGACTGTGAAACAAATTTAACATTACCATAGCTATTGAGATTTCAGAAAAGATATCAGTTATATAAAGCAACATACAAGTTTGCCAGGAATTCAAATTAGAAAAGCAGAAAGGGTACATGTACTCCATGGGGACTTGAAGTACTCTAACCTAAGAACAGCATAGTTTTATTTCAACAGCATTACTTAAGAGTGTGAGGCAGCAGTCCCTGACTCTAAGATCAGGACAAGAGCTGTACCAGTACTCTAGCCCCCACTGCCCACAGGGAGGAAGAACTAACTCCTTGCTTGACTGGTGTAAGAAACACTCTAAGAGCTTGGTGTGGTAGTACACGCCTTTAATCTCTGGGAGATGGAGATCTCTGCAAGATGGAGGCCAGGCTGGGCTACATAACCAGTTCCAGGCCAGCTAGAGCTGCAAGGAGACCCTAACTCAAAAAGCCAAAAGGGGGAAAAAAGTCATTAAGGTTTAAAGATTACCTGCAATATTCTAGAATGAGGCTTGTGTCCATGTCTATGTTATTCACAAGAGCTTTAATGAGATCTTTCTTGGTGAGGAAATTTTGCCTAAAAGCAGGCTGAAAAGAAATCTAGAAATAAAGAGAACAAAATGAAAACAATCAACAATAAAACTGTAACTTTTGAACCAAAAAGTATTAGAATAAGGGCAAAATTAAGACATGCCTTTTTACTTTACTGCATTTTAAAAATATTTTATTTATTATTTAAATTTTGTGTTTATGAGTGTATTGCCTGCATGTATGTGAGTACACCCGTGTTGTGCAATGCCACGGAGGTCAGAAGAGAGCTTCGGATTCCCCTGGAACTGAAGTTAAGGACGGTTCATAGCCACTATGTAGGTGTTGGGAATTGAACCCGGATCCTCTGCAAGAGCAGTACTCTTAACCGCTGAGCCATCTCTCCAGCCCCTATTTTACTGCTTTTTAATAAACACATTTTCTCTACACTTTCTCCAAATTTTATTTTATTTTTACATTTATTATCTATTTAGTGTTTGTGCCACAGTATGCCTGTGGAAGCCAGAGAACAACTTACAGGAGTCAGTTCTCTTCTTCCACTATGTGAGTTTTGGGTTGGACTCGGGTCTTGAGGCTTGGAAGCATCTTTATCAGCTTCCAATTTCACTTATTTATTTATTTTTTATTTATTGTGTATAAGCATTTATTTACTTATTTATTGGGTATGAGTGTACTGCCTCCATGTGTGTAAGTGTACCTATGTCATGCAATGCCCACGGAGGTCAGAAGACGGTATCATATTCCCTCAGAACTGGAGTTATGGACAGTTGTTAGCTGCCATGTGGGTGCTGGGATTCGAATCTAGGTCTTTTGCAAGAGCAACCAGTGCTCTTAAGCACTGAGCCATACCTCCAGCCCCCCAATTTTATTTTTTATCATGCTGTCCAACTCAACCTCTGTTCTGAGACCCTGAGGTATCTGGTTGTGGACCCAAAGCTCCCTCTTTGCCACCTTACCTCTTACCGCTACACCAAAAAGTCTAGTTGCTAAGTTACTGGAACACTAGCCCCATCTGTGCATAAGAATTAACTATCAAAACAGCGAGCATTTCAGCAATGGCTACCTTCCTGATAAGTAAACTATCTGCAAATACTATGTTTTATGCCTCATTATGTAGCCCAGACTGCCTTAAAATTCATTATCCTCCTGCTTCAGCCTCCTGGGATGACAAGCACACACCACTACTACTCTTTTAAACAATGTCTTTTTTTTTTTTTAAATCTTTTGAGACAGGGTCTCCCTATAGCTCCAGCTGCCTGGAACTCATAGACCAGGCTGGCCTCGAACTCACAGAGGATCCGCCTGTCTCCGCCTCCCAAGTGCTGAGATTAAAGGCATGTGCCACCACGCCCAGCTGAACAGTGTCTTTAACCAAGAGGGCACAGTGGCATGTGTCAATAATACTAGCTTCCCAGGAGGCTGAAGTGCGAAGATTATTTAAACAGAGTCCAAGATTACTTTGAGCAATATAGCAAAATCCTATTTTCAAAGGAAACAACAAAAACTAAGTAACAACAAAAACTATTAACCAAACAACAACAGAAAACAAAAGTATAGGGTGAAAGGTTAAGCGTGAAAAAGCATAAATGTCAGCTGACACTAGATACACAGCTATCAATGTGAAAGCTAAGCAGGTAAAGAATCAGGCTCCTTTTAACTTCCTTAAAATACATAACAAAAAGGCCGGGTGTGGGAGCGCACGTCTTTAATCCCAGCACTTGGGAGGCAGAGGCAGGCGGATCTCTGTGAGTTCAAGGCCAGCCTGGTCCACATAGTGAGTTCCAGGACAGCTGGGGCTACAGGGAGACCCTGTCTCAAAAAGGCCAAAAAAAAACCAAAAAAAAACCCAAAAAAACATAGCAAAAGAAAATAACACAAAAAATTCTTAGGCATGTACCACCACCCCCAACGAGACCCTTATTCCTCTTTATTTTTTATTTTATGTGTATGAGTACATTGCCTGCATGTATGTAAGTGCATCCATGTTGTACAAAGCCTGAGGAAGTCAGAAGAGGGTGTTGGAGTCCCCTGGAGTTACAGACAATTGTTAGTTGCCATGTGCATGCTGGGAACCCAACTGGGTCCTCTGCAGGAGCAGTTAGTGCTCCTATCACTGAGCCATCTCTCTAGTCCCCAGATCCTTATTTCTTAATGTGCTTACTATAATAAAATTTAGAGTCAAGTCAGGCATGGTGGGACAGGCTTTAATCCCAGCACTTGGGAGACAGAGGCAGGTGGATCTCTGTGAGACCAAGGCTAGCCTGGTCTACATAGTGAGTTTTAGGTCAGCTGGGTATAGAGACACCCTATCTCTAAAAGAAAAAAAAAAATTGAGGAGTCAGTACATATATGTTCTCTATCCAAAAGTGAAGGACAATAAGAACTCTTATATTCTCCAACTAGATAGTATCAAGAAAGATTAAACATCAAAGCAGTAAGAATACTCACACCAAGTTTACCAAGCCGAATACCCCACTGGGCATCAATACTGAGTTCATGGAATCGAAGCCCTGTTTCAGTCTCCTGATAGAGATTTGCCAGCTGACAGCCCACCAAAGATAATGCCTAAAATAATAAAACAAGATTAAATAGTATTACAAATACAATCAGTTCTTCTAACACTTTCTAAATGAAACCCAGAAAAAAAAAATTTTTTAAAGCCAGGTATAGTGGTCAGTCAGTAATTTGAATACTTGAGAGGCTGAGGCAAGGACTGCTGGTGAGATCAAGGGCAGTGAGGGCTATACAGAGTGTCAGGACAACTGGAACAGCCCCCAAATCCCATAATCCTTTTTGTGGCAAGAATATAGACTGTTAGTTATTGTACTAGGCAACTACTTTTTTTTTTTTTTTTTTTTTTGGTCTTTTTGAGACAGCTCTCTATAGATCCAGCTGTCCTGGAACTCACTATGTAGACCAGGCTGGACTGGAACTCACAGAGATTCACCTGCCTCTGCCTCCTGAGTGCTGGGACTAAAGGTGTGCACCATCACGCCCAGCTGTTTTTTGGGTTTTGGGTTTTTTTTGAGACAGGGTCTGCCTATAGTCCCAGTTGGCCTGGAACTCAATATGTAGACCAGGCTAGCCTGTCTCTGCCTCTCAAGTGCTGGGATTAAATATGTGTGCCACCATGCCCAGCAAGTAATTACTTCTTTTAAGACTGATTTTCATTTTATTTTATACGTATGAGTGCATTGCCTGCAGGTATGTTAAGTGCACCCGTTTCATGCAATGCCTACAGAGGCCAGAAGAGGGTGTCAGATCCCCTGGAACTGGAGTTAAGGACATCTGCCATGTGGGTGCTCCAAACTGAACCTGGGTGTTCTGCAAGAACAGCCAGTGTTCTTAACCACTGAGCCATCTCTCCAGCCCCCATTTATGATATTTTAAAATATTTATTTTTATTTTTAATTATGTATATGTGTGTGTGTGTGTTTTTGTGTGAGGGTAGTACACATGAATGCAGGTGCCTGAAGAGGCCAGAGGTGTCAGATCCCCTTGGGAGATGGGGTTATAGGTGGTTGTGAGCTGCCCAATATGGATACTTGGAGTAGAACTCTGGTCCTCTGGAAAAACAGGAAGCACTCTTAACCACTTAACTATCTCTCCAGCCCTACTTCCTTTTTGAGACAGAGTTTCATGTAGCCCTGGCTAAAACTTTCTATGTAGCTGTGGATGACCTTTATCTTTTGATCTTCCTATATCACCACTCAGTGTAGAAATTGCAATATATACCATACCAGGTTGGTGCAGTGCCAGGAACCAAAACCCAGTCTTCCTGCACACTATGTAAGTACTCTGCCAACTAAGCTGTGTTCCTAGCCCTCAGTTATTACTTCTTACCTAGCATTTAGATAATTCAACTTTTTGTATAATATGCAAATTTAGCCTAGTTTTCCTTCATAAGAAAAGGACAAACTTGAGGTCAACCTGGCCTACACATAAAAATCCCAAATCAAAACACTAAAACCAACCAACCAAAACAACTCCAAGGTAAGAACTTGCCAGGTGGGCTTGAGCATTTAGCCAGCAAGCCCCAGGTCCACTTGTCTGACTCCCCAGCACCAGGGATTATAAGTGTATACCATATATATATATTATATATATAATATATATATATATATTATAAGTGTCTTTTTGAGACAGGGTCTCCTCTTAGCCCCAACTGTCCTGGAACTCACTATGCAGATCAGGCTGGCCTCAATCTCACAGAGATCCGCCTGCCTCTGCCTCTCCCTCTTGAGTGCTGGGATTAAAAACCTATGCCACCACACCCAGTCATAAGAACTATCTTAATTCTTTGAGTTAAGCAATGCTTGTCACCAGCATGTGGCCAGCTAAGCATAAGTGGGTAGAAACCATGAAACAGTTCATCATTCCAATTCATCATTTCTTCTGCTAAACGGTTAAGATCTGTAAGCAAAGCCAGCTTCATTTCTCTCACCAAATCTTTAACGCTGCAACAATAGGTTTTCTTATTCAAGACATACCAGGATTTTGTCATAATTCTGCCATGCTTTATCTATGAGCTTCCAGAGGTTTTCAAACACATCTTTCTGAGGTAATAGAGTACAGTAACCCAAGGCCAGGTCCAGATCCACCAGGCGACAATTAAATACCTACAGGAAGAAAAGCAGCACAAGAAGTCAATGGTTCAGACACAAAACAGAATTAAGGATCTTCGGCCCCCTCCCCACCTTTGGCCTTTTTGAGACAGGGTCTCCCTGCAGCTCCAGTTGGCCTGGAACTCACTATGTAGACCAGGCTGGCCTTGAACTATAGGCGTGCACCCCCTCCCCGGCAGAATTAAGGATCTTAAGGCTTATTTATCACCTATTTGAAGTACATACTACAGAAAGAACAAGTGTGTCATGAAGGTCTTGTAGAAATACAGCTCTAATGAGTTTGCTTAGGGTCTCATTGACCAATACCAGGAAGTGAAAGAAAGCAAGCACAGCAAGCTCCGCCAGGCATGGGGCTCTTCCCTTCTCTCCTACATCGTTCTTATCCTTCTCTGCAGATCTCCCATGCGGAGAGCAGCTTTTGCCTTACTCTTAGTTGCTGACCTCACTTTTTACCAAACTGAGAAGTCAGAAGGGAGCAGAAGAAAACCAGCCCATCTTCCCACCACCAAGTCTACCAGCCCCCTACAGCAGAATCCAAATACAAATGTAAACTCCCTAACAAGCTTTAGTCATGAACAGACTACACATACAACAGTAGACCTGCAGGGTCAAATCTACTGCTGTTGCAGCCATCTCAGTCTATATATACTCCATGAAGTTTGCACAATGACAAAACTGCCTAACAGTACATTTCTCAGAAGATATCCTTGTTAGCCAATGCATGACTATACTCTGTCCCACTTACCAATTACCATTTTCTACTTAAAAAGGTGTCCCTGCTTTCAAGGTATTGCTGAATCCCTCTCCCCAGCCCCCTTATCTACATAAGGGCTTGGTCCTACACAAGTCCTCCATCTCACCACCATCACTCTTATTCTCTCTCCCCTACCTTAAAAAACAAACAAGAACAATATCCAGGGAACTGTAAAGAGAAAGACTTTTGGATTAAAGTAGAGTAAGAGACAATCACTTAAAGCAACATCAAGGCTTGGTCCTTTCTAAAAATGTCCATATAGTAAATATTTTAGACCTGCAAGCATACAAACTCTGTGCCAACAACTCACTGCTTCCCCTGAGGAAGGAAAGCAGCATTAGCAGCCACAGGCAGCACATAAATGGGAACATATAAAACTTTATTTATAAACACAAACAGCTGGTCTTGCAGGCTATCGCTTGCTGGCTCATTAAGTACAAGAATTAACCTAGATCTAGTACTGAAAGGGAAAATACACAATCTAGCACATGATTGGAAAAAAAGAGACAAAATATAGACATTAAATTAACACAAATATTTATATCATTGTTAAATTTAGTGATGAAGAAAAATGTATTTCCATTAAATAAGACAATATTTTTACTTGTAGAACACAAACACTGGATACTCAAGTGTAAAAAGTCATAAAGCCTGATCAGAAAAAAAAATACATAAAATGATACTATAAAAATAGATAAAAAGAAGAGAGGTTGTCATTAAATAAGAAAGCAACAGTGGGTATACTTATGAGACAGGGTCTCCCTGTAGCCCCAGCTGTCCTGGATTCACTATGGAGACCAGGCTGGCCTCGAACTCACAGAGATCTGCCTGCCTCTGCTTCCCGAATGCTAGGATTAAAGGCAGACGCTACCACACCTGGCCCTTGTATTATTCTTAAACTTTTTCTAACTTTGAAAGTATCCCCAGATTTGGGAGTTTGTATGCATGTACAGGTGGAGACCGGAGGACATCATCACATGTCAGTTCTCAGGTATTGTAAATCATTTTTGTTTTCTTAAACAGGGTCTCTCACTGGCCTAGAATTAGCTGATTCAGCCAGGCTGGCCAGCCAGAGGGTCTCCCTGGATGTGCCTGTCTCCATCTCTCCACTGCTGGGATTACAAGCACTTGTCACCATACTTGGCTTTTAAAATGTTGATGAGATCGAACTCAGGTCCTTGCAAATGCTTTACCAACTGAGCTATCACCTCAGTCCTAAAAGAAATTTATTACTACTGAGGGAGTAGAGGGCATTTGAGCCAGAAGGTGCATGTAGAGGTTCAAGGACAACTTTGTGGAATCAATTCTCTTCTTCTACCCTTATCTGGGCTCTAGAGATTGAACTCAGGTTATTAGGTTCATACAGTAAGCACCTTTACCACTGGGCCATCTTGCCAGCCCTACAGGTTTCCTTAAAGTAAACTGACAGAATTGACAGAGCTGGGCACGGGGACAAACACCTACAATTCCAGCACTTAGAAGGTAAAGCAGGAGGATTTCCAGGAGTCTGTGGACAACGTGAACTATTCTGTAAGTTGTACCAGTGTGGGCTATACAATAAGACCCTGTCTTTAATTAATCTACAAATGGAAACTAAATGCTCAATACAAAAAAAGTGTTTGGTTTTTTTTTTAGCTTTGTTTTTTGTTTTTAATTTTTTTATTTTAAATATTTTATTTATTATTTTTATGTGTATGTGTGCATTGTCTGCCTGTAGGTAAGTGCACGTATGTCATGCAAAGCTGGCGAGGACAGAAGAGGCTGTCAAATCCCCTGGAACTGGAGTTACGGACAGTTGTTAGCTGCCATGTGGGTGCTGGGATTGGAACCAGGGTCTTCTGCAAGAACAACCAGTGTTTCTTAACTGCTGAGCCATCTCTCCAGCCCCTTGTTTTTGTTTTTTAACCAAAAGTCTCTTAGAACTTCTTTAAAACTAAAGGGCACGTGCCTATGATCCTAGTACTAGGAAGGAGGATGATCAGGAGTTCAAAGTTATCCTTGGTTGCGTACTGAAGTCAAGTTTGAGACTAGCTTGTGCTATGAGACCTTGTTTCAGAGAAAAACAACTTTTTTAAAGGTTAAAAAAAAATTAGAATTCCTGGAATAGAAATCCTAGTATAGAAACAAAATATAGCAAAAATCATTGGTATGCCTTAGTTTATAAGATAAATAACTAAATCAAGGGAAAAAGTGTTCATTACAATTTCACACATGCTCAGTGGAATGATTAACTATCATAGAGGTTCTTGAAGTTTTGAATGGTAGAACACTACATCAAATCACAAAGAAATGACTCATAAGCATCGCTGACTGAACGAAAACAAACCAACCAAGCACAAATACTTACCTTATGCAAAAGCGTTGTGGCATTTCCTCTGATAAACATAATGGATTTTCCTTTCAGTTCCATAATAATATTCCTTGAATTAACCAAGGTGGTCTCACCAAGCAACTTTTAGAAAAGAATGAAAGAATCTTTAGGTCTACTTGATGTATCACTCAGAAAACTATTCTCAAATATTAAGGAATTTTAAAAAATGATTTTATGGAAATAATATTGGTATTTAACCTAAAAGAGAAAGAAAGGGCCAGGGTAGAGGACTGATTGGGAAGGAGTAAAAAGAAATATTCAAAAATATTCTCAGGGGCTGGAGAGACAGCTCAGTAGTTAAGAGCACTGGTTGCTCTTCCAGAGGACCTGAGTTCAATTCCCAGCATCCACATGATGGCTAACAACTGTCTGTAACTCCAGTTCCAGCGGATCTGATGCCCTCTTCTGACCTCTGCATGCATTGTACAACATGAGTGCAGTTACATACGTGTAAACAATACACTTATATACATAAAATTAAAATAATACATATATTACATATATAATAAATATATTTTGTCTTTTTGAGACAGGATCTCCCTGTAGCTCCAGCTGGCCTGGAACTCACTATGTAGATCGGGCTACCCTCAAATTCGCAGAAATCCACCTCCCAAATGCTGGGATTAAAGGCATGTGCCACCATATCCAGCAAAAAATATTTTTTTTATTATTATATTATTACTTTGTGGGAGGGTGGAGGCTATCGGAGGGTGCCATTTGGAAAGTGGGTATACAGATGAATAAGATCATGTGGGATGTTCTGTATGACATACACACAAAAAAAATCAACAAATTAAAAAAAAAGACTCGTATTTGAGGAGGAAGCACAAAAATTTACTTCATGTTAAATAGTAGATATGATAAACATTACCAGTGAAATCTACCTGATGACTTTATATCCATACTTGGGTACTAAGGATCCCAGTGTAACTGACTGTGACTAGTAATAATCAGATACATAGAGATTAGAGGCCCACTATCAAAGGATGTGCAAACATCTAAGTGTTAGTAGCATTAAAAATGAGTTTTTCTGTACAAAACAGTGTATTTTAAAATGAAATGGAGATCTTTTTTAAAGGTTAAAA